GACTGGCCAATTTTATTTTCGAAGAGAACAGATTTTTGTCATAAAATCACTCATTTTGAACTAATCACCTACTCACGGAATAATAAATCCCTCAAAAATTTTAAATGGCAACAGGGATTAAGTAGCATATTGTTTATAAGATCTTTTAATCCTATTTATAATGGTGCTTTTTTTTACATTTTGAATCGGTAGTTTTTGAGAAAATGCGTTTCGAAGTTTTTTTATTTTAAATGCGTTTCGACAATTTTTATTTTATTAAATGTTCAAAAATAATAACCCATTCGCACGGTGTTACGTTGAACATTTTGCTTCGATATAATTTGATGGCATTCTTCGATTATACGCTACTGAAATTTTCCCTTTGAAATCTATTAGGTGGCATATATTCTGGATTTTATATATTCCCATAAAAAAAATACAAGAGTGTGAATGCTCGGAAAAATACTGATTTAAAAACTGCCGATTTTATTACTTGAAAAATATCAACCCACACATTCACTGAAATAAACCGGATGTACTGCAGGATGTTCGATGCAATACTAAACAAAAACTTTATTACTGCTTAGAGATTGACGATACACATTTTGAACATTTTATAAAATAAAAGTTATTTCCGACGTAAAAGTTTAAAACGCATTTTCTCGAAAGCTATTCATTCAAAATATAAAAAAAATAGCAATATTGTAAAGATAATTATAAGATTTTTCAAATGATATGTCATTATCCTGTTACCATCCTGTTACCATTTAGGATTTTTGAAGCGTTTATCACCGTCCTTATTATTAAGGAGTTAGCGCTAATTATAAATGGGTGAATTTATGATAAGGACTTGCCCTTCCCCCTATCACGTTATTTTTCGAAAAAAAAATTACCAAATTTCATAATAATCATATGGTCTATAAAAATCATATGGTCTTAAGATGATTCTTTTCTTCGTAAATTTGGTGTTGGAAAAGTTTTCATTAAGAATGTACAACAGATAAAAATATAATAATACAATAATATTATATATATATAACTATAATTATAAATTATAATTATAATTTATAATAACTATTACGCATAATAGTAAATATAAACATTATATATAAGCATTCTACTATGCTTAATTAATACTTGACAAAAACAAATCTTCTACGATATAACGAACTAACAATTGATTTCGTTACGAAAAATTAAAATGACATTAAAAATATAGATACATAATTTTATGACTTTGAAATAACATAATAATAGAAAATTAAATTTATGTAGTAGTCTATTTCTTGGCTTATGTAAGAATTAATTACGTAATCCTTTTCCTTTGGCATTATTTTTCATAGCAAAGATAACTTATCAAAAAAAATATACCTAACACTGAATGTTAATGTTATAAAATTCACTGATAAGCAATATTCTCTCTAGCATTCGATTATACAGAATTTATCTAAATCATTTTAAAAAATTCTTTAATAACATTTGAAAACTATAAATATAGGGCGTACCAAAGTTCTTAGCTGCTTTTAAAAATCAATTACATCTTATCGAAATTTTTAAGCAATTTTTTTTCATATAGTAGAACTACTAATCTAATTTTAATATATAAAAAAAAATATTATAGTGAATTATTCTATATCCTTGATCTATAAAAAATTCGGAAAAATATTAAATGAATATATCAATTTGTGCAAATCGATATATTCAATCTAATAATATCGATATATTCAATCTAATAATAATCTAATATCAGCTCAGTTCTCTTACCTGTTAATATGGTGAAAGAAAAGAAAACAAAACAAAACAAAAAATCCAACGAATCTAATGACTGAAAATTTTAACAGTATACATGCACATAAACGTACATGCATACAAAGTACAAAAAGAATGAGAAATTGCATGGATGAACGTCGAACTGTTATAACCGACCGGTCTTCTGCAAAAATTCGAACGGAACTTCGTCGTTCGTGACTTAGAAAGAGAAAGAGTAAAAGAGAAGACTCTTCTCACTTTGGAAAGAACTTTGAAAGCTATTTTTTAATATTATTTCGCACGAAAAGTTACATAGCGTGAAATAAACTGAAACAGTACATACACACACACATACACACATAACACGCATATACGCACACACAGAGGAAGAAGGAGAGAGAGAGAGAGAGAGAGAGAGAGAGAGAGAGAGAGAGAGAGAGAGAGAGAGAGAGAGAGAGAGAGAGAGAGAGAGAGAGAGAGAGAGAGAGAGAGAGAGAGAGAGAGAGAGAGAGAGAGAGAGAGAGAGAGAGAGAGAGACATACATATACTAATGCGTTTACATACACATATGTATTATATATATAGCTGGAGTACAGAGATGCACAGATGGTAATGTACTTAACGTTCACATATACATATATATGTATATGCATATATGTATATACATAGTAAGAATACAACAGAGCATTACGTATACCCATCAACACAAACATATATATAATATTGTAATTGTACAGAGTGTTCAAAAAAGAAAGTATTCAATATTTATACAATACATAGAATACACTACTTAGTAAAAAAATCTTAGTAAACATAAGTCGAAACCTCAAATATTTCTGAAATATATACATTTTTGTAAGTTAATATCATGATTGACTTAATGGCTTTTATCATCGCGTACGATGTTTTGCTTAGTATTTATAAAACGTGTTTTGAACGTCCTTATTCAATTTCCAAAACTACATCGGCAATTAGTCAGTTGTTAAGAGCTTGACGTTTTTAGATAAAAAAGTTTACCGATCGAAGAGTTCTTTCTGAAGTGGTCTTTTAAAATCTTCACCATCTTTGCGAATCAGTTCAGTCAAAGGTGGATTAGATGTAGTAAACCAGTTGCGTGGATCTCTATGTGGATATTTGAAAAACAAAGTGTATTCTTCGCCGATAAATAACTTAGAAGAATTACGAATATCACTGAAACGATTGACCTTTCGACCTATGTTTAATAAGACTTTTTTACTCGGTATAGTGTGTTCTATGCATTGTATAAATATTGAATGTTTATTTTTTTTAACACCCTACTCTAATTGGTCTCATGTATATATGTATTATACCCTTATTATAAAAACTTCAAATATATATTAATAAAGGGATCCTTATTACCTAATAATAAAAAAAAATTCAAAGAAAGAAGTTCATTGTATATTATTATTTCATTTTTTATTTAATTAAATATCTTTTCAAACTGAAATTTGAAAAAATGTCCGATAGAAAATTTTTTTTTTTTTTTTTTTTCTTTTGTCCCCGTAAAATAGAAATCTACGAGGAAAAATATAGGTTTTCGTTTGAAAAACAGAAAATTAACCTTCAAATGATTTTAAAAGCATCCGATAAGTAAAAAATTGATAAGATACTTGTATGTGCATCTTAAAATCGTAAAACTTTTTTACGTTAACATTTCTCTCAAAAATGCTTTTTTTTTAAGTCTTCGAATGAACATGCTGCATATAAATCTACCTACAATAGTAGAAATACATGCATATATGCATCTATGTATATATGTATAGCAAGAATACAAGAGACATGTAAGTACATAAATAATAATATAGTTGGATACAGGTACGCATATATATATATATATATATATATATATATATATATAGACATACACATATACGTATATAATAGAATGCGGAGAGATAATAAAAGACGGCTCCCCGTTTTCACTTGTTCCACCGATCGGAAATCTCTCAACTACGGAAGTGCACGGAACGTTAAGCGCGCGATGCGCGTGTGATAAATGAGAAGAGGAGAATGAGGAGGGAGTTCCAATTATTTAATAGAGGTTGCTCCTCTTGCACGTGGTGTCATGCGCTCCAAATGGAAACAAACGATAGCGAAGAGTAATTTGTGCAATAAACTCTAAATAGTCGATATCATAGTAACATATTTTTTTATAATGATCAATTTTTATTAATCTGATTACTTATTATTAATTAAAATACGATCGAAATATTAAAGGTATGAAATTAAATAAGAGTTTAAAAAAAAGAAGACAAAGAAAAAAAGAAAAAAAGAAAGTTATTTACGAATAATTAGATAAAAGTATTATATAATACCTTCCGAGAAAAAAAAAAAGATCGGAATCGTATAGTTATAACACACTTAAATAAAAATATTTCATCCTTAATACGATAATGAATAAGATGGAAAAAATATGTATGTATGTATGTATGTGTATATATATATACATATATATAGTGTATATAGTGTATATATAAAATGATTACATATAAAAATTATTAAAATTAAATAAGATAACAGTTTTTAGAATCAAGTAGATAGACTAATGACGTATATTCAGTAATACAATGATAAGAAATCAGTCCAATGCGAAGAAGGAGGAAAAGTAACTTTCTTATAGTTGTTTCGATCTCTGACCCGTCCTCGATACATGTAGGATACAAAAAAGAACTTCTTCTTTTTCTTCTTTACCGATTTAAAAATAGGATATCATTTGTAAAAGATCGAAAGAAACGATCGATTTGATGGATCATAATTGTTTACACAACTTTTAGATTTCTTAAAATATTTTTTATTACATTATTAAATTCTCTTACGTAGAAATAATGAATCGTAAATATAATTCAGATATCGAGATTCTCTCCTTCGAGATTTCTCTCGATATATAAAATATACCATCGTCTTCACATTGACAATGATCTATGAAAAGAGGGAATTTAATCATCGAACTATATTATAGTTAACTAACTTTCACGTTGTTGTACTAGATTTAAAATCATCATGTTATCTATATTAAGCGATAACGATAATTTTCCTTTTCACAGTTGTCATGATAATAAATTAATGGCGATAACGATCATTGAAAATAAATATAATGCTATGTAACAGCTACAAGAGAACGTATTTTAATCGTTTATATGCACGTAGTAAATAGATTCGTATGTCGCGTGCTTCTACGCGCGAAAACATATTCAAATTCAAATCAAGACTAGAAATCTGAAAGAGAACATTTATATTAAAGGTAAACTTACGAATTTGAAGATTGGAATCGTTTGTCGGTGTATATAAATCGAGCAAGTTGAAAAAGATTCTTAAATGATGAAAACTTTTGATGATGATAATTGAATGTACGAAGAAGGGAAAGGACTAGGATTTAGGAGAGGAAAATCATCAGTTTTCAAAATCACTTTCGGAACATCACGCGTTTCCTCCAAATGTCGTGTCACGTTTTCAAGAAACTAGATCACAGAAAATACACGAAAGGCACGTACAAATATGTACATATTAACGTACGCACACTAACATAGTCGATTGAACTCTATTCAACTCCCTCTATTCTTCTTTTCCCATACACGAAGCACATCGACGTTCCAACGACGATAGCTCGAATTGTACTGAAATAGTTCACTTCATCAAGGGTATCTAAACGCTACTACCGCCCCACCTGGTGACCAATAATTGTATTACTTCTCTCCAATTTTAAATCTTAAGTATGATCACAAAATCTTGTAAATTTGTCTTTCGTTTCTTTTAATTTTTTTCTTAAATAATTAACAGTCTACTTAATTACGAATTAAAAAACAATAAAATAAATGAATGGGCCGTCGAATCTGAACTTATATTCGTACATAAACATAAGATATAAATTGTATAAATCGAAAAATATCTAAAAGTCTTATTTTTATATTAAATAGTATTTATATTAAATAGTATTTTGCATTTATATCTAAAATTTATACATAAAATCAATATTACAACACGTTACAAACTCACTTTTTCCTGTACATTTACATACGGTTATTCATCTTAACAAAAGACATACTATAGAAATTCTTTTTCTTTTCATATCAAATTTCTTTAATTTGTTTCATTTTAGGTTTCTGTCATTTATCGTTAGCCTATTTTCCATCTAATTCCTTGTAATCTTTTAATACATTTTCAATTTTTACAAACGTTCTCAAAAAATCATCGTCTTCTAAACCAAATTTTTTATAATGATGTAAAAAGGCTGAATGTATATAAGAATTCCAAGCTTTATCTAGTACTTCATTAATTGGATGATAAATATTAGAATTATTTGAAAGTAAAGCTAAGGCTTTGTCATGATTTAGAATATGTCGTTGTTGGTGCAAATGCGTAAATGGATCAGTTGTAATCCAGTCTGCATATAAATATTTCTCTTGTAACTCATCTGTTTGTATGTCTTTATGTGTACAACTTCCACGAGTAATCAAAATATTTGATATTGAATGACTATACAATGAAGATGGTGTAGAACATGATGCACGAGATAATTTTTTTGTTTTTTTACATTTTATATTACAGGTGGTAGAATATATTTTGAGCATTCGTTTCAATTGGTACAAATATGACTGCCATGTATTAGTTGTATTATATTCAGGAAATATAGACAAAAATGGAACAGATTTAATAGTTGCAAATTTATAACATGGTTCTACAACTAGTTTGGCCATTAACGAATGTAAATTATTTTGCATATCACTTATGGGTTGAAAAGCTATGCTTAAATTTTTAGATATTACATCATTAATATCTTCTAATTTAACATCTACATTTAACAAATTTTTAAGCATAAGATGAATATCTTCATTCTCAAATAAAAAAACTGCATCTGCATTGTCTAAAAATTTGACCAAAGTTAACAAGGTATTATAATTCTGCGTACTCATTTCACCAAATAGGAATGGTAATATGATTGTGCTAACAAATGATTTGTTTTTGTATTCTTCTCGTAATAATTCTATGATATGACTTCCAATTCCTGAACCTGTTCCACCAGCTGAACTAAGAAGGAAAAGAAAACCATCCAAATGGTCTACTTTCTCGATCTCACATTGAATAGTATCTGATACTAATTCATAAAATCTAATCCCTTTTTCCATATACCCATATGCCCAATTATTACCAGAACCACCAGCAGCTTGATAAAATGCATTGTTAGTACAATATGTCCAGCTCTCATATTTATTATCAGTTATTTTATTTATAACTTTTTCCTCCGTATCCACAAGAATTGCTCTCGCTAATCGTTTTCCATCTTTGGTTAAGCCAGAAAACCATTTATCAAATACTTCTTCAATATAATTATAATTAACATTATATGGCACTCCAGTTTTCTCAGCATCCATATCAGCAGACAGTTTTGAAAATAATGCATGTCCTAACTGATTTCCAAATTGTCCATATTGAAGAGCAAGCATATTGACATAACTTGTTTATGAATGCTTAGAAATTAGGACTATAATTTAATATTTAATTGTATTTAACTGTTGTCAACAAAAAATATTTCTCTTAATCCATAATAATAAAAAAATAAATAAATAAATAAAACGATAAACATGCTTCAAAGTACTGCAATATCTAAAATAAATTTACATACGACATCTGGTTGAAAATTTCAGAACGAAAGACCCGAGATTATTTTACATTCAAAATACAACACGTATAAATATATAATATTTAAACAAATGCTGTATTGTTTAAATAAATATAAAGTAATAGAAAATATTAATTATTCAAACATACGAGTATAGATTGAGAAGGCTTCTATGTTTATTCGTTGAAATAGAAAAGAAAACTGACTCAGTAATTCAAAGTCTCTCGATTTCTCATTCTTACATCACAGACCTATAACTACTTCGAGTATGAAATTTCCTTCAATAGAAATATCATATTACAGTCATTTTATTTTGGAGGTAAGTTAATAACTATGTAATGTTTAAACAAATACAGTATTGTTTAAATAATAATTGATTGTACTACAGTGATAGATAGATATATATACAGTAGGGGATTTAAATATTTGTATTTATAATAAGAATATGGAAATACATATTGTACTGTACAAATACTTAAGTCTCTTACTGTATGTACTATATATTTTTTAAATAAATAATAAAGGTACTAACGATATAATATTTGTATATAATACGTAACGATAATTAATAAAAATGATTAACAAAACATACGTATATGAATAAATAAGATTAATGAGAAGGATAGTTTGTGTGGAGAGGGAACTCTCACTATATGTCATTTATGGCCATAGATGTATATGCATAGACATTCTTGAATTTGTTAACGCTTTTTAAGGAATTGTATTATAAATAATTAGTTAAACAGGTAACGAAATAATCTCTTTAAATTTAATAACTGTATCACCTTGCTACAATACCTAATAAGTTGAAATAGATCATCCTTAAAATTTTTACAGACAAAAACTTTACATGAATTTATTACATCGATTATTTTATGTTATTTGCATAATTTAAACGCCTTTTGTAAATAAATCTGTTTATATACATATACATTGTATCTATAGAAGCAGGTACTATTGACACGAAGGCAAATGTACGCCGATAATACTGGCTTGGCTCATAACTTCATTAAAAAATTCCATCATATAGTCATATTTCGTATCACTCAAAAGTCAATGGTATTGACAAAATTGGCAAAATAGGATTTGTTGTTTCTACTTCTAATGCTGTTGCCATACAATCGCTTGCTGCTTCTACTTCACCTAAAGATTCTAGTACTTTACCCAAGTTATACCTTAAAAATTATTAAACATTTATTTATATATAATTGGACTGTTAATATTTTCTTATGTGAAAAAAAAATATATGTATACCAAGTCTGATGAGAATTAGGATCTATTTTAGCTGCATCTCTCAATGTTTTCTCCGCTAACCTTTGATTTCCTAAGTAGTGATATATTAAACCCTATAAAGTATTAATAAAAGTTATTTGAAATGTAATATTTGAAAATAATAAATATAATATTTTCATTTTAATATTATTACCAAATGCTGCAAACTTTTTACATGAGATGGATTGATCGTAACAGCATTCTGATAGCATTGTTTAGCTTCTGTGTATTCTAATTTGTATTCATGTAGTAAACCACGCTAGAGGACAGAATAAATATTATATAACTATCGATCGCACCTTTCAATCTCTTTAAAATCTTACCGTGTACATAATATGATGACTCAATGGAAATATATTACTGGCTTCTTGCAATGATAAAATAGCACCATTTGGTTGATCCATTGCTAAAAATACTTCTGCAAGTAACAACCAAACTTGTAATTGCAAAACCCAAGCTCTTTGTGGACCAGGTTTTGGTGTAAAAGAGCTTAGTGACGATGCTACTTCTGAAAGAGCTTGTTCTACTCTTGAAGCAGCTAATGATTGTGCATGCATTGAACCTATATTTGCAAAAATTATATATGTAAACCTTAAAATTTTCAATAAAAAAAAATAAAAACATTGCATATAATGTTAAAAAGCTTTACTTGGGATACTTACTGGAGTCTTTATCAGACATCTCTGATGCAAAAAATTGACATACGCTTCTAATCTCACTACGTTTTTCACTGTGCTGTTCGTTACAATTAATATTTGTTTGATCTTCAAATAAACTTTTCCAAAGTGAAAACATTTGTTTTATTGTAAATAATGCTACCTCACCACTAATACTTCTTAATTCTAAATGTGCCTTTACATAAAGAAAATTTAAATTGTCGGGATATTCTTCTAATACACTATTGATCAAATGTAATGCTTCTGAATATTGTTTATTGGCAGATAATAGCAATACCAATAAATGCAATGATGGTATGTGCTCTGCCCTTAAGTTTAATGCTATTTTAACGTGAATCATAGCTTCGTTTATTTGTCTATTCATTGCATATTCATGTGCCAAGTAATATTCTGCTAAATGATCATTTGGATCACATTGTTGTGCTCTGAAATTTTATAAAGTTAATAATTGTATTAAATAATATTTAATTTGGACTAATAATATACAAGTAATATGCATTATACTTTTGAAAACAATCCATAGCAGCATCAGTGTATTTTATTTTGTCCAATTTGATAGTGGTATTTGCAGATAATATGCTTTGGCCAATACCAATATACAAATGACACCTAGATTGCATTCCTTGAGGACTTGCAGTTTCCCTCTGCAATGCTTTCTGACTCCATTCAATACCTTCCATTATCTAAAAGGGTAATACTTCATTTACATAATCCATTACTATAAAAGATTATAAATTAACTTACCCTACTAAATTGTTCATAACACAATCTTGCAGCCAGTAAACAAGGCACAACTTTATGTGATGACAATCTAGCTACGACTTTCAAGACTGTGTAAGCATGCATGTATTTTCCTAAGCTTATTAAACATAAAGCATATTGCGTCCATGTATGTGCTTCTTCATGGGAAAATTTCATTGCTCTTTCAAAGGACTGTTATAAGATAATAAAATTGTCATGAGAGAAAAGTAATAAAAAAAATATTTCTATTTTAAAATATCGATATATTATAAATAATAACCTCGTGCAGAAGTTCCACTTGATTCCATCTAACAACAATAATTGTAAGAAGATCATAAATATTAGTAGCATTTTCAAATGCTTGTATTCTAGCTTCTTTGAATTCTGGTGATTGACTTAATACAGCATCACGTACTGCCATAGCTTCGCTAATGAGCAATAACAATATTAATTCTTCATATTCATTTTTTGGAAGGAACATATTAAGTCCTACATATCTCTTTGGTTTCCATGGTGAATCTAATAATATAAAATAATTTCAATATTTAATTTTAGGATTTTATAATTATCTGATAAAGTATGATTTTCATACAGACCAGTTGTGTCAATTACTCCTCCAGGAAGATTGTAATCGGCACTACATATCTTACGCAACAATACTTCAGCTAACTGTTTAGTCATTTTTACTCTCAAGTTTTGCGTTGCTGTGGTCTCCACAGCAGACAAAATTTCTCTGTTAATGCATTTCATTTTCTTAAGTAATTCAAAAAGTCAAGTCATTAAAGAAATATTAATAACAATACCTATAACGAGAAATTGCAGTTTGTACATCGCCAGTCTGAAGATATAACAAAGGTGATCGTTGCAATGCTGTTTCTAAAATTGGACCAATTTGCTTTGTAGCACAAACAGAAGTTTGTGTAGTATATAATCCTATAATATCAATAAATTTGTCATATATTGCACCATCCAATTTTAATACATTATATTTCTTGATAGTATTTTCATAAGTTCTTGATAGTACCTATATTATTACTATTTACAGTAACAGATCCATTCTGCTGTTGCATTGCAATTTTATCTTGTTCTTGTAGGTATACAAGAGTCAAGTCTCCCGCAATAACAAAACATTTTATCATCTCCACTTGCCATTCTGCTATTCTAAATTTTGACTTAGAATTTGGAGGCAACCTTTCCAGACAGAGACCTACCATGAACAATGTGTAGAAGCTAGAATAAATACTGATAAACTGTTACTTTGAAATCTGGAAAATGAATACTTGCAAAACTACAAATAACAATTTACATAATAACATGCTGCTTTTTCCCCCCTATAAATACTACAAGCACACCTGTTTATTCCACAGAGAAGTCAAACTAATAAATTAAAAATATGTATTCTAACAGATGCATGAATATGTCAGATTTGAAATAAATATCAAGTCTTGACTTAAAAATGAAAGTCATTTTGCAAACCTTTAATTGCATATGATTCTGCTATAATCCTTAGACTTCTACTAGGTAATTGTTTTTCTGTTAGAGTATGTAATTCTGCTTGTTGGTAATGATAAAGTGCTTCTTCATACATCCCCATTGCATAATGAAGTTTACCGAGAAGTAAATGTGCATCTAATACTACTAATGCCTAAAAATATTTTATTTGGTAATTAAAGAAAAAAGTATAAAAAAATGAAAAAATTTAGAGATCTTATATTAAATATTATATTATAACATCTATAGATTATATATCCATATGGATTAGAAAACCTATTTGAATGCTTACTTGCTTATCCTTTTCATTTGCAGCAAGAAGTAAATATCTTTTAGCTTCTAACAATCCGCTTTTAGCCTTAGTAATATTAGAATCTATAGGTGGTGTTTGTTCTAAAAAACTTTCTAATCTTCCTTCTCCACAGAGAAAATTTGCTAAACATTCTGAAATGAAAAAAACAGAAATCATATTCCGATTAATAGATCATAATGGGACCAATTAATAATTTTTTGTACAAATGCTTAAAAATATATAATCATGTTTAGATTTAAATTTATAAATACAAATATTTACCATTATTAGGATATTGTGCTTTAAGATGTTCCGCCAATTCTATAACCTTCTTCCAATTACCTTCCTCTCTATTTCTATCAATTTCAGATTCAATTCTAAGAGTATGTCCTTTTTTACTAGTCATTGTGATTACTATAAAAGAACTTGACAAGCCCAGAAAATTCAAATGAGGGTATTACTCAGGATTCTGCAAATATATATGGTTTATAACGTCATACCGATGACCGAGTCATAATAGTCATGCGATAACATCGAATGTTTTCAGACAGAATAATACATGAAAAAAAAAGTAATCAAAATTTGTTGACGTTTCAATGATAACTTACGAAAATTTCGAAACAAAACGACATTAGTAAAAACATGCTTTATTAAAAGAAAAACTTTGAACGGATTTAAATGAAACTTCGCATTCTCGAGTTATTTACAATAGATAATATATTAGAATGAAAAAACAATGACATCTCAAAGGAGTCTTGCCATTTGAAACAGTTGATTATGCTTATCACTGTGAAGTTGGGTCACTTGACAATTTTTCTATTTGATAAAAATTACTCCATAAAGTAAACTTTGAATGTGATCACTATGATGAGTTCCACGCGTCAAATGTATAAGAAATCGTTAGATATCACCAAAATAGGTACTAACATTATATTAGTACGATAATTCACTGTAAGATGGCTTTAGACTAAAAGAATCTTGCCTCGGTATTGATGTAACACTACGTTATTGATTGGTAAAACATTGAAAGTTTTCAAATGTTACTTTAAATAGCATAGCAATCAATAAGATATGATGTAAAATAAGCAGTCAATTAGTTAGACAATACTTGCATTGTATTATAAATGTGTAACATAAATTACATAGTAAGTAATGTTGATTTCACCGAGTTGAATCCCAATACTAATTCAGACGATAAGATAAAACGGTATACTGAAAGATTACCAACTGTCGAGATTATTTAACCATATATTTGTTTCCTTTGTACATATAGTTATTCGCATTCTCTATTTAAAAACATCTAATGACGATTCTTATATACGACTTGTATATGCTCAATTTAGTGTTTTTTGTGAGTATATATTTAGTGAGTACATATGTATATAGTATATATATAGACATTACATATTTATTTTACATCGTCATATTATTTGAACATATTTTTTAAATAAATTGATAACGAATATCATTACGATTAGTGTTACTTTTTATATATAAAAAAGAGTTTTATATATAAAAGAGAGTTCAATGTTGCTTTTTACATATAAAAATATAGAAACATAGAAGAAGTTATATTATTCAATTGAAAATACTACTTTAATTGATCACGTATTCAACATAATTTAATAAATCTAATAACAGTAAACTAAAACTTCTGTAAATTTCTAAGTGTTAAAAAAGTAGAATTGTTGTATACTTATAAATATTACTATATGTATATGAATTAATTTTTTAAAAATGTAATATTGATTAAAGTAGTAGCGCCTTGTGGCACCACTGTAGCCAAACAATATGGCAATCGTCAAATCTCCGTTTTCTTTCCGTATAAATAGCTGTCATGGTAAGTCGCATATAATAATATCTAAGAAATATAATGATTAGAAAGTTATTTACAAATAATAATATTTATGAATAATAACATAATATTTCGTCCATAATATCCATATATTTCGATGAGGAATTTATTATAAAAAGAAAATGAACGTTTTATTATAATAAAAAGTTTACGGACACGTAATATTTATAATACCATTCATGCATTATATTCGTACAGCATGAATTAAATGCGTGAAACATTGTTATCAATCATTAATTTTTAACCTTTTTAATTCTCTAACGAGTAAATAATTAATTATATCAAAAGAATACACATTAATATTTCAGAGAGAACTAAATGATGATTTTAATAAGAATTTTATTTATATATTATCATTTTTTTAACCTTAGACTTTCTCATTATTTATTAACATGTTTAGTTTATTAAGGAGTTTATTAATAAATGTTTGCAAAATTTAACAATATTTTAGAAACTCAGATTCATTGATCTAAATGATTGGATACCTTTTTCCTTATTTTTGTCATAGAATCATCTGTCTAAAGTTCATTAGAATGATCGAGTGAGTTATCATCGTAGCTTCTCCGTGTGTGTCGTGAAACGGATTTCTTCGCATTTTGAAATATTTAGAAAATCTAAGCATCAGCCAACAAACAAGCAGACAATCACTATTTCACGGACATAAAACATACGCCATTCAATGTGTATAATATGAAATTCAATAGTGGAGCTTCTTTTTCGCTGCAAGTTTCTAGAGACTTCACAGTACTAAAACATTTTCTTCGGGAAAAATGTCGAAAATAGCATTTATACCATCAATGAGGAGTAATTCTTAACTGATTTTGATGAATAAGGTCGCATTTAAAAGAAGATTTAATATACAGCGTATTCTTTTTAAATTTTCGAAAAAGATTTTTATTTATACATAAACCATTTCCGAAAGGAACTATTTTTCAACATGATTTTCTTTTTTCAAAGAAAATAAAGCTTTTTCAGAAACTCGAAAAGAATACGCCGTAGATTAAACCTTCGTCTTTTAAATGAGATCTCGTTCATCAGAATTAGTCAAGAATTATTTCTGTTCTCATTGATGGTGTAAACTATTAAAATGCAAGGATAATGAACAGTATTAATAAAATAATTTAAGACTTTACATAGTCAAATGAACAAAAAACAACAAATCTACAATTTATAATTAAATTTTGAAAACGGTCATTTTACCGAGCTTGGCACAGTTAGTGTTAATAATAATTTGTATTATAATTTTTATCTAATATTATTACATATTACATTCTTGATTACATTCGATATATTATAAAAGCAAATAATTATTTTAAAAAGAAACTATCTGTTTCTTCGTTTATTGATTTTTGAATATGAGATTATTATTAAAAGTTCGAGAAACAGTGTGTGATCATAAATATATCAATTCAATATTTTTTTGTAACATTAAGAATGAATTCGTTTTATTGCATCTTGCTACTACGATTCAAAAATTTCTAGGAAGATCTTAGATTAGAAATAATAAGAAAGGTTGATCTTTTAGTATAACGTGCGACGGAAGTGAAAATGTACTACTATTTTAGTACGCTAATCTCATTCGCAAACAATTTAAAAATTGTAGTTTATATAGATTACAGATTTAAAAATAACTATTTAAATTTAAGTCATAGTAAAAGAAAGGTAAAAGACAATAATAATAAATAATGACTTATTAAAAATTATATTAATATAATTTCTATGGAACGAAAGTATAAAAAAAGTTTGATACCTTCCGGCTTTGATACCCAATTATAATCAACTACTAGCTCTTAACAACATACTGCGTGACAAGTATCACTCGATAAGTCAACCCAAATTTTTAATATTTTTTTTACATTTAACGCAGCCCAAATTGGTGACATTCATAAAAAATCGACCAGATTTCTGGTTCATTATGGTTAAAGTTGAATTCACTACTTATGGAATCGTCGATGATAAAGTAAAGTACCTGATGATCCTTAAGGTCTTTGATCACAATACGATCGAGCAGATTTCAGACATAATACGACAGGAGTCCACTACTGAAAAGTACAAAACTCTCAAAATCGCGATAATCTCACGACTCTCTGATTCCAGACAAAGCCAAGTAAAAAAACTTTTACGTGAGACAATGCTTGCAAATAGAACATCTTCTCAACTTCTACGACAAATACGCGAATTGGCTAATGGTTTCGTTGATAATATCATATTGCACCAACTTTGGCGTGAACGAATACCAGCACATATTAAACCGCATCTGATTATCGCAAGTAAACTTCCGCTTGATGTTATAGCCGAGTTTGAGGACCGTTTTTACGAGCTGATGCCCTACGATCAAAAGAATAACCAGGTCATGGCAATCTTTGCACGTCATCCTGCATCACCGATTCCTCAGTATACTGACTCAAAGTTCATGGAAATTCAAAAATCTCTTATGATGGAGATCACTAAGTTAAAATTACAGCAACAAAACACACAACAGCATCTACAACAACTCACTTAACAAGCCAACAACTGTAGACCCAATTTCAACAAGACACCCAATCTCCGAGGCACCATAATCGCAGCAGACCAAGATCACTGATACCTACATACAATAGTATCTGGTATTATCACCAAAGATTTAGCAGCGAAGCAAAATACTTCACTTTACCTTGCAAATTTGCCTCAACAACCACACTGACAACAAATCAGGGAAACTAACGTTGCTGTCTTCAGTAGGAGCAATGAAAAACAGCAACTGCAGACAAAAGGAGCTCCGACTACACATTTACTACAACACTATCAAACAGAAATTCCTGATTGACTCTGGGTCTGTAAAATAGTTCATCGAGATCACTAGGGCGATTAGCAAGCCATGTTTAAATTCAAAAGCACGCCCATTTGCTCATAAAATTACTACGCATCGTGCACCAGTCACTGCACGAGCAAATAAACTAGCGGCAAAAACTCAAATCAGAGAACCTCTAGACTTCGGAATCATTAGACCCTCCAGCAGCATGTAAGGCAGTCCTATTCATATGACACGAAAAAAAGACAATAGCTGGAGAAAGTGCGGTGACTACCGTAAACTCAATGATCCCACTGATCCAGCCATGTACAGCCCCTCCGCTCACTCAAGATTTTTTTCCACGTCTACACGACAAAAAACGTTACAACAAAATCGACGGCGAAAAAGCATACCTACAACTACTTATGCACGAGGACGACATTGAAAACACACTCGCAACAATCACATTGCTCGCTTTTCCGCCTTCTAATTAACCAATGGCTCTCACAATCGATGCATCCGCAACTCCCATCGGAGCTAAACTATGATAGAACAGCTGAAAGGTGATACCTGGAAACCCATAAGATTTTTCTCCAGAAAACTGAGCTAGGCAGAACAGAAATACAGCACATACAATCGTGAACTCCTTGCTATTTTTGCATCAGTCAAATTTTTCCATCACTTGCTTCATTGCCGTCAATTTGTCATCAAAACAGACCACAAATCATTTACTTTTGCCTTCAAACAAAAACTGGACAAAGCATCGGAACGTCAACTACAATAACTCGATTACATCTCACAGTTTTCCACTGACATAATTTATACGAAGTATAATGATAACACGGTCGCAGATGCACTTACCTCGCATTAATACCATCAATATGTCATCCGTTTTCACACCTCTTTAAATCCAACAAGCACAACTGAATAACATTGAACCAGCTGATCTGATCAAAGACTCAGTTAATCTACAAAATGATGATTTCAATTGATAATTTCCTTGAATCTACAAAAACTCACGTCAGAACTAGGAATCAGCATCTATTGTAACATTTCGGCAGGATTCATCAGATCATTCATACTAGTACCACTACGTAAAACAGCTTTCAAAGTCATTCATAATCTCTCACATCCTGGCGGCAGGACCACATCTCTAAATTTACGCGAAAAATACATTTGGCCTGAAATCCGTAAGGACGCATTCAAATGGTCTGGAGAATTTCTTGCTTGTCAACGAACAAAAATTCATTTTCACAACAAGATCAAGCCAAACCACATAGACGTACTTGATAACCGCTTCAACCACATCATCTTTCTACTGAAGGTCAAAAACTGCCAATACTGCCTTAACCATCATTGATCGTTTCACTAGATGGCCCGTAGCAATATTTCTGAAGGACATGACAACATAACTATACTTCTAAAGGACATCGTTACTGCACTATACGAACATTGAATCTGTCATTACGGTAATAAAAATCACAACTGGCCAAGAAACTCAATTCGAGTCAGCGCTTTTTCAAGCTTTCGCTCAGCTCGTGGGAGCAACAAAAACTCGGACGATACCCTACCATCCTCAATCCAATGGAATTGTAGAGAAGATGCACAGGACTCTCAAAGCAGCGCTGATGTGTTCTCCTAAACCATGGATGAAGATCTTACCTATAGTATTATTAGACTTACGAACCAGCTTTAAACCTAACATCTAAGCCACCTCAACTGACATGCTATATGGTATCTGTTTACGTATACCAGGCGAATTCTTCGTCACTGGTGAACAACAATCTGAGTCACAAATCTTCTTGGAGAAACACAGAGAATTCATCCGTGGACTTAAACTTACACCGATTGTTCACCACAACAAAGCTAGGATCTTCATTCTAAAAGATCTTGACACCTGTTTTCATGTATTCCTGCGCTGTGATCACGTTAAAGCTTCACTAAAAGCATCGTACATTGGTCCATATAAAGTCATAGACCGAATAAGTAACCGGGTATTCAAAATTAACATCAACGGAAAAATATTTCAATAGGCAGATTGAAGCCTCTTCACCAGACTCTTCACCAGATTAACAAGTCCAACCACATCACTGGGGTTCCATTACAGATAAACCTAAACGAACTTACACACGTAAAGTCAATTTCAAACATCCTACAGAAACTCATGTGGGAGTAGCTGTGGTGACCTCGATGCGACTATCATGCCTCCTCAGGAAAGACACATAACTAACACGCCTTGGCGCCATCAAACGTACATGTGGGAAACTAACCAAAGTGAGTGCTTTATAACGAATAATAACGAAACAGTTTTTAAATCAAAAGTATACAACAATTTATATAAATTAAAAGGTGCATATAACAATAGTAAGACAATATTTTCCAAATTGCTAATACATGTGATACGTCTAGGACACAGGAACCAAGACACAATTCAAACAGTGGTATCCAAATCCATGATTAAAAGAATTACAATAAAGGACTGTGGAATTATGGAGGTCTGCGATACATGCAGATGAAAATGACCAGGAAAAATAGATCTCTTTTGGAAATGGCCAAATGTTTGTTAATTAATGTCAAACCTGAGAAAAAGTATTAAGAAAAGGCTGTCAACTTTGCTAATTATTTACAAGATAAATTAGTTACTAAATCTACAGGAATAATCCCAATGGGGAGATGGATTGGATTCGAAACCAGATTTCGAACACATACATATTTTTGGATCCAAAGTCTACATACATCTTAAAAAATTACGAAAGAAGTTGATTGACAAAGCAAAGGAATACGGATTTGCTGATTTTGACAATAATTGTAAAGGATATTATCTCTTAGACACAAATACAAACAGAATAATTATAAGTAGTGATGTGAAATTTACTGATTCGATAGTAGGCTTAAATGAGAAAAAAGATATTTCAATCAGATTGGATGAAAAGGATAGCTATGATTTAACAGTAAGTCTTCTTAGTGCCATTCTAGCCTATATGGAAATGAATGAATAGAACGAAAACAACATCAAAGATGAAGCTGTTCATAACATCGAAAAGAGACAAAACCTTTATCAAATAGAGGATGCAGACGCTCTCGAATAATAAGGATTGGAGGAAGAGGCAGACCGCGAAAATTGTACTTCGAGAGTACAACTAATTCAGATAATATTGCAGGATACACTACCGAGATTTCCATAAATGATGCCATATACAGAAGGGATGCCGATGAATGATTATTGGCAATAATCAGCAAAGTTAAATCAATACTGGAGAAGGATGTTTGGGAATTGGTCAAGCAACCAAAGGAAAAGAATATAATTGACTGTCTCATGATGTTAACAAACAAGTACAGGTCAAACGGAGCAATTACTAGGAAGAAAGCCAAGCTGATAGCTCGAGATTTTAACCGAAGACAAGGTATGGATTTTACAGAGATTTTCACACCTGTGATCAGTTCGTCTGAGCTCAGTTCCCCTTATAATAGCATTGGCTGCTCATAAAATGAGCATCCATCAGATAGATATTACTATTGCTTACTGAAACGATCTGCTGGAAGAAAAAACATACATGGAAAAACCAGAAAACATGTAGAACACACTTAAGAAACTAATAGATATGGAAAAGGCGAATAATATAATTGGAATCACCGCAAGGAAAATGCTAAAGCAACTTGAAACTGGAAACAAAGTTTGTGTGGATTTTTCGTAGACAACCCAATATGTAGAAAAAAACTTTTCACATCAAGTAACAATAGTGATGTTTATTTAGCTATACAGTATATATTTAGATACACAGTAGGTACATATTATGACTTCCAGCAGCTATGGCTGTGGTCTCTAGAAGAGTCGAAGAGTGTATGATTTTCTTCGTATTCCCGGGGTCTTTTTCGTCTCCTTTGTTTTTGGCGTCTTTGTTATCTCTCACTTTGATTGGTTACCCACGTGTATCTTTGGTAGCGCCGAGGCATGTTAGTTATGTCTTATAGGAGGAGGCGTAACATTTGCCACATTTGCAAATTAAAAAAGGCTATCTATGATTTAAAGTAGGCGGATAGACAATGGCACATAAAATTGGATAAATGACACAAAAAACTTAAGAGAAATGGGTTTAAAATCATCAAACTTCGATCCGCCGTGATTAAGGAGAAGAGGTATTGTTTCCCATTGCCGATGACATTTCAATATTATCTAGGGATATAATGAAATTTCAGGAAATTAAAGATGGTCTTACTAAAACTTTTGTTTTAGTTAAAGATTTAGGAAATGTTACATATTGTCTAAGGATTGAGTTTACTGTTAAATAATATGAAATTAAACTAAGCCAAAGGATGTAAATAAGAAAATTGTTAAAGAAATTTAATATGTTCTAGTTCCCGTTAGAGCCAGATACTGCATTAATTATGGAAAATCAAAAGACAAATAAAGATAAGCAATATTTATACTGTGAACTAATAGATGGGATAATGTATCTAGCAATTGTATCTAGTTCCAACATATGCTATGTCATGAGTTACTTAATTCAATTGAATAACTGCTATGAGAAATCACACTGTAAAGTAGCCAAAATGGTACTTAGATATATTAAGAGCACAGATCACTATTGCATATTTTATAAATCGGGTAATAGTTTTTTAAAAGGATTTACAGACTCTGAGATTGCATAAACTATCACCATTTTTATACTGATTATGTTTTTCTTCTTGGTGCAAGCCCTATTTCATGGGATTCGAGATAGTAATGGACAATTACGTTATCAACTACAGAGGCGGAATATATGGTCATTACAAATGCTGCAAAAGAGGTCTTGTATCAGGTCTGGTAATAATTAATGTCGTTTTCTAATACATTTTTAAAAGTAATTTATTTAAACAAAACAAAACAATTTAATCAACGGTATAGTTGTCATTGTTTTCAAGGATTTGTGCCCAACGCTCAGGTAACATCTTAACCGTTTTAGTGCCAAGGATTCTTAAAAATCCGTGTTGGATTGTGCCATGTAGCGCGATAACGCTTCATTCATTTGTCTGCGAGTAATGCCGATCGACGCGATTGCGCTTTTTTTTTTCGTCGAAATATACCGCTCGGCACGTTCGCTCTTCATGTCGTTAGTCAATTTCTTATTCCTAAAAGTTTCATCAGTCATATCAGAAACATTATATTGTACTCTCAAAAGTACGCGAAGTATTCGGATTTTACGTTTTGTTTACGTGATAACATTTTATAACATAGGTTTTGGTTTTCCAATTCAAAAGGTAATTTATACATTAGTTTTTTTTAAATTAATTTAATTATTTATTATTCGTGTGTCCCTTGAAGAGCAATGGATACGAAAAAGAAAAGAACTAAGTTAAGTTGGAGATCTAATTCAACTAATGAATCTGATTATAACAGTAATAAGATCGTTTCAGTCTCAAAAAGAAGGAAAATAGACGTTTTTGATACATCTGATTTGATAGCGAAGATAGTATTCCATGCAATTTTATCTGTTCTGCTACGTCTGCAAGTACTTCTATCGATAATATAAGTGAACAAGGGGATTTATTTCCCTTTACTGAAGACACTGGGCTACAGCCATTGCTAGCTAACGAATCTAAACCTATTGATTACTCTAATCTGTTCATCGATTCATCCCTGTTAACAGTAATGGTTCGCGAAACGAATAAGTATGCCGAACAATTAATAAAATCACAGAAATCCAACAATATTTTCTTATTGGACCCAAAATTCAAGGGGCATACCTTGGTTTTCAAAAATGTTTTCGCGAAGTAGATTCCAGATTATTTTTCAATGTTTTCACTTAGTTGATAATAAAGAATGTTTCCCACCAGGCCATGAAAAGTACGACTCATGCGTAAAATTTATTCCAATAGTTGAACACGCGAATAGAGTATTCAAACTGTACTATAAATCGCATGAGGAATTATCTATCGATAGGAACTCTATGCCATTCGAGCATCATGCAATATGCCGAATAAAAAACATCACCGATAGGGTATAAAATTTTGTATGCTTTGCGACGCAGTATCCAAATATTGTTTAAGTTTTTAGTGTTATAAGGGTGCTAAAGGAAAAACTGATAATACTAAGTCACGAGAACATGGACTTGAATACGATGTCGTATAAATTTATTAGAGCAAAGCCAGTATTTAAATAAAAGGCATCATGTATTTATCAATAATTATTTCAGTAGTATCGCATTGGCCAAATATTTATATTCCAAAAATACATACTTAACGGGAACAATTGGAAGTAATAGAAAAGACGTACTTGGCAATATAAAAACACCTAAAATTAATGAAGCGAAATATGTCCGAGATGGAGAAGTACTTTTGTGTGAATACCGCAAAAATAAGTCCGTAAAAAAACCTGTATTGTTAATTTCGACGCATGCTTCAGATGACAATACTATTGTAATTAAAAAACGAAAGAAGTAGAGTAAAACCATGTATCATGGTTGTTATAATCGTTATATGGGAAGTTGACAAATCGGACAAAATGTTATACATCTGTCTTGATAAACGCAGCACGGTAAAATATTGGAAAAAAATTACGAATATCATTCCCTTACGATATTAATCCTTTGCACTCGAAGTTTTTTTTCATTCATATTACCAGCAACTCGAAGCAATTTTAGTGAAAAGGTCATATTTACATGTAAATTAATGATATACGCATTAAAAGAAAAGTCATCGTTGTATGTTATTATTTTTTTAATTGTTTATGAATGCAAATGTTATGATATAAAAAAAAAAAATATAAAATTATTACATTTTGTAATCGTCCAAAGTGTGATACCTCTCGAAACAATTACCAATATGTAATCTTGGCTTTTCTAGACAGGTATCACAAAAATAATAGGTCTGCCGTCTTTCGCCCGGAATTTGTCTATTGGAACACATTACACAATCTTTCTTGGTTCCACAACGTATAATGTGTATAAATAACCTATAAATAGTTTTTACGATTTGTTTTTGTCCTTATGTTAAAAACTGAAAATTATTTGCATTGCCTCCGTAGCGGAGCCCTCGAGTTTGAAGACAAATTTTAAATAGCTCCGCTCCTCGAGTGCAAAGGGTTAAATTCATAGCTATTTTATAAGGAAGTCACTAAAAGGAAGCCAATGACTCAACTGGAATTTACATCAAGTATAATATCTGAAATAAAGCATAAATGGATGTAAGTCAAAAAACAACATGTGACAAGTGATGATGACAGATTATTAATGAAACTATCAGGCAGAAATTTAAGACAGTGCGTAGTTTGTAGCAGTAAAATTACCGGTATAAAACGATCAAATTTAATTTGTGCGCACTGCAAAAAAGGGCTTCATCCACTATATCTTGATAAACATGTCTGTTTTAAAAATAATAAACATTAGTAATCTTGTTTTATATTTATTATAAATAAAATATTATATTATGTTTTTTTATATTTTCAAAAATGTTGGCAACATATGTATACTATGCAGTAAATAAAAGTAAATTAAATAAAAATTGCTCATTTATGCAGGTGATTTACGATTATTTGAAAAAAAAAAATTAATTACGAGAGGAAACTGATATGACTCGCGACGAACTATATTCGGAACCGAGTGCGTTACGAATTGACAATCGTTACCAAACATCGCGGTACATTTCAGCACAGAATGTGAATAGCGCGATCGCTTTGCGTGGCGCTAAAACGGTTAATCCTTCTATTGTAAAATTCTTGTGATTTTGATTCAAAAAATTCGGTCGTCATTTTTGAGGCATTCTTCATTATTGAATATTTACGGCATTCATAACTTGGCGATAGCGGTGCCAAAGAAGAGCACGAAACGGCAGATGCGTCCTGCATACTGGTGGACAAGCAAGATCGCAGAACTTCGCAGGAAGTGCTTAAGGCTTCACCGGTTAGCACAACGAGCGAAGAGAAGCGACCTCGACGCTGCTCCCTTGGCCGCAGAGTATCAAGCGGCCAAAAAAGCTTTAAACAGGACCATCAAGGCCAGTCAACGACGGTGCTGGAAGGAGCTGTGCCTGGATGTCGACCAGAATCCGTGAGGATTAGGGT